CCTAAAGTACAACTTGTAAGATCGAAGATACTTAACCTTTGCATTCAATTCATTCACGCATTCAGCACGCATTTTGAAACCCGCAATACAGGCTCCTTTTCCTAGCTAAATAGACCAATGGACACTATTGTACCCCTTTGATAGACGCTTTCCGTACTCCTGAGTACAGAAATTTTAAGAACAGATTGCTCTTAGTCTTAAGTAAGATTGGACTTATTTAGAGTGCGTCCAGAACAAGCAAACTCTATCCTTTTACAGGTGAAGCTTAGCCATAAGTTCAAGTTCATTCGCTTAAAATAAGAACTTTATAAATAATATTTATGCAACTCCTTCTTTAAAACTCTCCTCTAACGATTTAATGCAGAGAAATAATGTCTTTGCTAGGAATCATGACCGTTTTGGTGCGACACAGCTATTGGGATTAGAGATTTCAATAAGCAAGTATAATTCAAGTGACTATTTCCATCAACTGTCATTGAGATGAGTTCTAAATATAAGTAAAACTGTAAAGCTTGAGACGTTTCTGTTGCAAATTAGTCAAATAATAAGGCGATAGCTGTTTTGAAGAATCACTAATTTATAAATTATCAGCGGCAGCTCATTTTCAATATTTGTACATACACTCTTACAATACTCGAATATAAAAGTCCCAATTCTATAGGATTTCTGTGATTTTACAGAAAATATGCCGGGCTTAAGCCACATTAGAAACTAGACACACACGAACTTGGTGTACTCGCAAAAGCCCGAAAACTCTCTGGTGGACACACATGAAATGTTAGTCCCAGAGAAAGTGCGTGTAATAAAAAAGTTATTCTTTTTTATTGAAGTAACATGACAACCAAAACATTCCGCCGAGCTCCCAAATCTACGAATGCGCAATCGTTGCGTTTCCCTTTTTTAACAAACACGTAGTATGTATGTATGTATCCTCAAGCCAACTGTTTTCCTTCTGAAATCAATTTTGTACAGCCTTAAGATATTGTAGATGGTGTTTTTAATATTTTGGAAAGCTTTCAGTTCATAAATAATTATAAATTTTGGCAGCATTTTTAAAGAGGCGCGGTTCACCATTTTTTGGACCCCACACTTAACAAGGTGGAACGCCTAAGAAAGGCTAAGTTTTTGTAACAAAAGCTATCAGTACTATTATTGTTTTTTGTTTTGCGAATACAGTCAACTATTTCAACAACAATTTGCGGGTATCGAGAACGACCTACACTAAGTGCTAATACTTAAGAAAATATACATAACACCTGGAAAATTATTCTAAACATTTTTTGATAGACTTACATCCAATTTGTAAATCTACAGAAGATCCTGAAACCAGACACAGTACACACTTATATGTATTTGTCATTTGCCCCATAGTACATGGAGGTGAGTGTTGCTCTGACAACTTTTTCCAACTTAATTTTCAGTTTCAAATATTTGCGCGCGCTCGCATTTATATATAAGCGCGCGAATTAAGCGATTACGCGCACTTGCTTTCTTTTCTCTTGCATTTTTTTATACATAAGTTTTTTTTTTTGTAGTACTTCTGATTCCTGTATATGTATCTCGCGCTCGTCAAATGCAATTAAATGGCATTGCAAGCGACAACATTTAGCATGCCGTGTTCGGGCTCGTTTTCGTCATCATCATCGTCATCGTCGTCCCCACCGTCACCAGCAGCATCGTTATTATGGTGAAGATCGTAGCTCCCCCTTTCTGGTTAAAAACTGAGACTTCCGATCCTGCTGGCCGACAGAGATTTCGGCTGGTGTCGCTGTTGAGTGCCTATTTCACGCATTTCATCGCCTGTCGCTCAACGCTCAAAAGTCGCCGAATGCCTGCATCTCGCCTCCTCTTCACATCCCCACATCCCCACGTCTCCACAGGTCCGCAGGTCCGCTCTTGCGCATTGCGTTGAAATCAATTAAGGATTTGATTAATTTACAGGGAACGCGAAAACTTGCTTTATTTTAGGAGCGCGCGCCAAGCAGCTGAGCAGGGAATTTAATGTTGTTAATGTTAATTTCAGCCTTTTTCGGTGCAGTTGGGGTCTGAAAAGCAAAAGACTTGAGCACCAATCAGATTTCATTTGCCCCGCTCATTGATGAAAATAACCTAGACAGTCCCCATTCAACATCTGCCTTTTTCCCTTGGCCAGTAAAAAAGCCAGGCATTCAATTAAAAGCGCCTTCGAGTATTTTTCAAGTTGACCAAATATTTATGTTGGCAGGAGCTCCTCAGCCGGCGTTGTTGTCGTCGCCAGCCGGATTAATGAAGTAGTCACCCGCTATCAGCGACGTCGTATCCATCCACATCCACATCCGCACTCCTGCTCCTGTAATTAACAGGCTCACATGCTGATTTCTTAATGGCGCTTAAGCTTCGCAATGCGCAGCCGTTTGACGCTTCCAGACGAGCTTCCATGTAAGCGGTCCCGCACGCCACAGGGTGCCGCATGTTGACAGACGAAGGGGCAAACGACGCCGAAACCAAACGATTCAATTCATCAACTCAAATGCCAGGCTAAGAGCATTTTGGCGGCGCTCACAATGCAGACCATCGCAATGACGATTGTGATGATGCTGATGATGAAGATGATGAAGATGATGATGATGATGGGGGTATGGATGCATGCGAAACGGAAGCTATAAATGGCAGCATGAAATTAACGCGTCTAACGTAAAATTAGCTACTTTTTAGGCTCAGATAAGGCAAACAACCATCCAGAAAGCAGCAGACAAAAATTAAAGTTTGTGGCTTGCGGCCTGCACATATTTTAGAATGCTTCGGATCGTGCAGCCTCTAACAATTTGTATTTATTGGATTTGAATAAGCAAATTGGGGGCTGCTCCTAATGACAGGACTGCTGCCTCAGTTGGCGGCCCGTTGACTCTGAATTTGTTCAATATTTGTTTGTTTGTAAATTTCTATAATTTGCATGTGCGGTTTCCTTCTTTTCCCTTCGTTTTTTTTTCGTTGGGCTTTAGAGGGATTTTGGAATATTATTTTTTTTTTTTAATTTAGGTTGCCTATGTAAATCAACAGCGTGAACGTCTCAAAACCGCAAATTAGCCACACGTATGAGGGACAGCGTTACCTCCGTCACTGGCTTGTTTCTCGTTAAGGTTTAGCGGCCTTAATGTTGTCCAATAAATTGCAGAGTCTGCCCTTTGCCAGCCAGCGAGCCAGCCAGCCTCGGCGTTAATAGAGCAAGTGTTGTTTTGCTCACTTTTGGCGTTAAGTGTTTCGCACAGCGTGGCGTCGCGACGGTGCCGTCGCATCGCTCCAATCCGTTCAGTTTCGTTTTCGGCTCGATATCGTCGGTGCGAGTCCGTTAAATAATCAAAAAAATAAAAAATAAACAACAGCCGAGTAAATACTACACGATGATGCCTGCCCCCGTTGTTGCTTTCGACTTTGTTTGTTTTTCGAAAGTCGCTGCCGTACCACGCCCACAACACGCCCGCCACGGACTGGCCAGCATAAATCATTAGGCAACTGCATGGTGGGGTTGTTGCTACCTCTTCTTCTTCTTCTCCTGTAACTGCCTCCGAATGTGGCCATGGCCACTTGTAATTATGTGTGAATTTTGGCACAGTCTGTTCACACAAGCAGGCCTCAAGTCCCAGTCCGAGTCCAAGTCCAAGTCTCTCTGTGCTCTGAATGCGCATGCAAATGACGCAAACAAGTTTGTCCACGTGCGGCAAGACGAGTTGAAAAAGAAATGTTTCCCCAAATGTATGCAACAGTTTCTAGTCGATTGCGGTGTGGTAGGTTCGGATACAACATTGTACGCGTTAATTATCGTAGCTCCTGAAAGTATGCCACACATATTTTAAGCTGCTTCGCCGGCCCAGTGATGAGCCTCTTTACTTTTAATAATACGGATAAGTGGCAGTGCAATGATTTTACTTGCAATTTAATGATGAAATGTAATACTTTTAAATTACAGCTAACAGGCCTTGTCCGTGTTTACTGGGCTAAGTATATATTTATTTATCATAGCAAATTATTTAACAGTTCTTATACATTAATATCTATACATTTTAAAATACATAATTATGATAATATTATATGGCAGATTCAATCGGACACATTTTTCCGTATGATGACGAGCGTAACAATAATGAATAATAATGCTAAATGGCTAATGCCTTACAGGGTATTCATTTTTTTTATGCATATATGGGTAAATACAAATAACATTACTATTATGTACAATGGGGAACAAATAATAGAAACGACATAATTTGCTTCGTTTATTCGAATTTTCTTCCATACAAGTATTATCATTCAAAATGTAATTATGTTTAACAATTATTTATCAAACTACATGTTTAAAGTAAGAAAAAATGATAAGCTCTGTGAAAATGTAGATCGCGGGAAAAGTATTTTTTCTTTTTTGGTTGGAACTATTATTTTTTCCATCGCTGTGTATACGTTTTCCACAAAATTTAAAAAATTGTTTTTGCTATTTATGGTCTCTATATATTCGTTTATTTTCGTATATGCTCGCACTTTTTTCGCGCTTTTTTAAGTCTTCACAAACGATATCGTATGCGCGTCAATGCCCAAGTTTCTGCTTCTGGACATTGTGGACATCAAGGACAGCTCTTTCAAAGCAAGCAGTACATTTCTGTAGTATACTTTTTAGTGCTCGTGTACAATTTGAGCAATGTTGAATTTTCTGGTCACTACCTTTTCCTCCAGGAAATTTGTTTGATGCATTCTCTACCATGACCGCAGTAGGTATTCCGCCTGCGGCCTATGGAAAAGCAGCTTCTTGCACTGCTTTTTTCTGTCTCACTTATACTTTGGGTGTATTATCGTTCCATGAGGCTTCCATGACTCTTTCTGCCCGTTACATTTTTCGTAATTCGTGATGCATTCCCTACAACGATCAAACAAAAACTCCGTAAACTATTGAACAATACGAATGTTACTGAATTAAATGAAAAGTAAACCTCAGTAAAATGCTCAAAATTGTTCTTATTTTTTATTTAGTCAAAAAATCAACAAAATGGACGCTTCGAGCTGCAAGAATCTTCAACGCCTTTGCCTTTACCTGTTTGTAGGCTACGCCCTGATTATCCAAGCTGTGGCAGCTGAAAAGGAGGTTCCGGGGACTAGGTTTGGCGAAAGTGTTGGAGCGCTGACGCTTAATTTCCACTATTGCTACTCGTGCGGCTACCAAAAGGCCTTCGATGGCTACGTTAATATCCTGCGCACAAAGTTTCCACAAATTCGAATCCAAGGCTCCAATTATCAGCCTCCCGTCATCAATTACCAGCTCGCCAAGCTCGCTTTTCTAATCAAAATAGTCAGCATTGCGTGGGTGCTGTGGAGCTCCGGCCTATTCACAATTGTGAACACTCCCATTAGGTGGAACCGTCAGCAAGCGACAAAACTATACGCTTGTGTTATGATCTTCTTCCTGGGAAATGCGATTGAAGGCCATCTCATCATGACGGGCGCATTTGAGATTTCACTGAACGATATGCCCATCTGGTCAAAACTGCAAGCCCGTCGCATGCCGAGCCCTCAGGAGCTCATGCAAATCATACATAATCAGCTGCAGTTCTGCGACCAGCCTGGAAACCCAAATTTTGTTAAATAGTGGATAGCAACCATCCGCTAATCAATGGAAAGGGAAGGATAAGGGAATTGTATACGTTTGCGAGACCACGAATCGGTTCTAAACGGCGCAATAACATGAACATATCTATTCGATTTTATTTCATTTACAAACTAAAACTATAATTCCACTGAAAAGCTCTTCACAATGCCAAAGAAAACACAGTTCTACAGATAAAACAGTTGTACACACAATATATAGTAGGTATATCTTACAAAGAGTACAAAAAAAGTAGTTATGTTTGCAAATGTTTATGAGTTTGTGTGGCAATGTGTGTGTGTGTGTGTGTGAGTGTGCTTTTGTGAGTGTTGGTGCTTGTGATCGTGTTTTTGTGTCTGAGTTCCCACTTAGCCCTGATGATGATGATGCCACCAGCCGGACTGGCGCGCATTCACGTAGCTCTTGAGTCCGTCCGTTTGTGTCTGCGCCACCGGCTGTGGAAACAAATGCGGTCCGCTTGTTTCGTAGGTGAGTCCATTGTGCTGATTGAACACATAGGCCTTGGGAACCTCGATGCCGGCGGGGCCAACAGTGTTGGTCGAGACGCTCACGCTGGATATGCCCCGGCCAATGGCATTGGAGGAGCCAGCAGGCAAGTAGTTGCGGCTTGGTGGGGGCACCCAAGGAGCGCCTGGCAGCAGTTGCGGCTTCTGTGGCAGCTGCAGGGTCGGACGATACTGTTTCGTGTACAGCGGGGAAGTGGGAGCCTGCTTCGGTATGGATACAGAATTCGCTGGGCCGTAGGCATTGTTACGCAAATCGCAGACCGTGTTCTCAATGAGTGCCCCTAGCGGGGCTGTATAAATGCGGAAGTTGACATCGCTGTAATCGAGATCGGAGAGCAGGAATACAGGCATGCGATCGGAAAGCACCCAGACGTTCTTATTCTCATCGATCTTAACGTCCGCTGGAAAGACAAGGCCGACATCATCACGATCCACAATCCCGTGGAATTGGGGGGTGTAGGGCATCGAAGAGTGCCAGCAGCCGACTGCGTTTTGGTCGATCAGATTGAACAGCTCAACTCCATCGTCGCTCATCACGCGCGCCGTCGTATGAGCATTAGGTCCGCGCTCGTCCAGGGCTATGAAGTCATGGTAGCTGTCCTCCACGCGCGTTTCGTCGCGCAGAATACGCGTTGACACTGCGAACTGGCGATGGCTGGCTAGAGGACTGAAATAGAGGGTGCGGTAGCCATCGCTGCGGATCGGGGACAGCGCCATGCCGAAAATGCCCTCCTCGCCCCATTGGAAGTTCAGACCGGCAATGTTATAGTCGCCGCGCAACGGATCTGGGAAGAAGTAGGAGTGCGCCGAGAAGCGCCACGACTTGTTCTGCTCCCACGAGTAGGCGATCAGCCCATAGCCGAGCTCATCCGAGAAATACGCAAACGCATCGTCACAATTCTTTCCAATGTCCACGGCGATGTTCGCTATAAACGTATTCGGATTCGTGTCCTCGGTGCGCAGCTCGTAGCGACGCACGCGAGTATTGGTGGTCAGATCGAAGACGTTCACGGCATAGGGACAGGGGTTGGTCGTGGTATTGCCAATGCCTACAGTGCCTGTGTCCAGCACCCAGAGGCGTCCGCACTCGTCTACCTTGATGCGATAGGCAGTGGTTATGCTGTTGGCGCAATCGCCAGCCGTGTTGCTGCGCCAGTCCGGATATGGAATAAGTTCCGGCGAGCCTGTCACACTGTGATCCATGTTGATGTAGGTCAGAGTGGCGGGTATACCTGCGGTGAAGATAGGAAGAAAGAGATCAAGTCAAATTGTGGCTATACTTTTGCATTTAATTGCATCTAGCTACACTAAAAAATCGCAGTGCAAACATTATTGCTGCGCCGACGAGTTTATTGACTTCATAATAAGCGAAGAGAACAAGACGGAATGCAATAAAACCGAGTATTTGTAACCATAACACGATTATACCAGTTAATCCACTAAGCTTGGCATTATCGAGGCAGCACATAAAAGGAAAACCACACCAAATCGGGACTATTGCATCAGAACTTTCGGACAAACATATTGATTGATTGACCAACGACGCCTACAAAAATACTTGCAGCACCAAAAACCAATTAAACGATTTAGCTTAGCAATATTGCAGCAATTCATGAAAACTCATTGAGCAATGTAGGCCCAGTGTTGCCTCCAATTTGGCATTTTTTCGCGTCACATTTTGTTGTTTTTGAAATCATATTACGGGAACATTTCTGAAATAGCTGGATGCGGGAATTCTGGCTTTTTTGTAATTTTGCCAATATTTATATATTTTTATTAATATTTGTAATATTTTGTTGCTTCATTTTACTTATCTTCCCGTCAAAAGCTGTTTTTTTTTTTCCTTCTAAAAAGTTGGCAACACTGGTACGGCCACAGTACGTAGCAATAATACGGCAAATCCACCATTGAAGTCGTTTGAATCGCAATAAAAAAATGGCAGCTTACACCTCACTGTTGGACCAACAGATTGAAGTGTTTTTTTATGGAATCTCGGCCATAAATACCATGTCGCTGGACAACAGAAAGACCCATCGATCTGTCCACCTGTCGACTCTCTTCAAAAGAGATGTCCAGACGTCCTGACGCCTGCCTCCATACAACTGTTGCAGCAACCGCAACAGAAACTGTTGAAAGAAGTTAGAAATAAGTGGGGATCGAATACAATGCATGCGGCAGCAGCCATGATTGTCGTTTCTGCTGCTTTTTCTGCGGCCGTTGCTGGTATGGTGCCGCCAATCACCTTGCAGCAACAGCTGCCGGCACTCGGTGGCATCCCATCAGGATCGCTGTTGTGTCCATATTTGGGTTTGTTTCTTCAGACACTTTTTCCTTATTACAAGTTTCAATCCTAATCATTTCAATAAATTGCTGTTTAAAAATCTGCACAATTAACTAACAATAAGCTTCATTTAATCGATTTATTTTTTAATGTAAACATTTTTAAAAGATATTCGCTTAATGTTTGAAGAAGCCTCAGCCTAGATCCATTTCTAATATACTTATAAGAGTCTACTGAGGCACTAATAACAAACAAATGCAAATGTGAAATTGTTTGTATAGAAAATTATTGTAACGCTTACGTGCTTATGTATACATACATACACACTATACATACATATGTACATATGTATTAGTATTTTTGCTGCCACAGGCATGTCGCATAATCGGATGATCGCAGAATAGGCTGAACATATCGCATGTCCGATTATTTAAATTACCCTGGCGCCAAATGTTGCCTGTTGCAAGCTGCAGGTTGCAAGCTGCGCGTAATTTCCGTCAGCGTCATTACCAACATCATTGCCAACATTAGCGGCGGCGTCAACATTTCGTCGCTGCCCCAGTCGTGTTCGTCATCAGCAGTTTCCGCTCCAATTGATGTCGCGCAACTGCCGCTTGCTCACATCTATTTGCTAGACGGTCTGACTATTTGGTCGTCTGTCAACTAACTAGTTGGCGTTGCGGGCGGCATTGTTTGCCTGCACTTGCTTTGGCTAATTTTGCAATGCATATGAGTATTTGGCTATTGGAGTGTGTGTTCATGCAACAGCTAGTCAACAATGCTTGCCACATTTTTCCGCCTTGCCAACGCCTTTCAGTTTCCTAATGCATTTTTTTATGCATACATACTATACATTTGTAAATTGGCTGTTTTACTTGTTTTCTATATCCGATGTCTGTTGTCCGATATGTGTGTCTAATATCTGCTTCGGTAGCCGTTGCTAATGGTTTGACGATGAAAATGTCTTGCCAGCGTTAATGACTTGCCCCGTCTTGTCAACCACTATAGCTTACAGCTTACGCCTCCTCACCTGCCTCACGCGTCTATCACTCACCCGAGTTACTCACTTGAATGCGCCATCAAATGGCTAACACTAACGGATTTCGATTTCTCAAAGCCTCACATAAATTAGGCATAAATTTGAAATGTGCGAAACCGACCAAAAGCAAACAGCGCACTGCCAATCATAAAGCCAACCAGTTTATAGCTCCTGCGCACTTGCCACTACAGTGGCAACCCCGTATGCGCAACTCCAGTTTACAGAAATTGTCGCCTTCAATCCAGTCTAAAAGATACCATTTCCTTATTTTGTGAAAGTTTATCCGACATTGTTTGTTCAGCAGCCCACCCGCTAATTACTTAACGTTTCATTAAAACCGGATCATTAAAATTTGTTGGCAAATTTGTTTCTGGTACATGCCGCTCCTCAAGTTGCTCTGACAAGAAAGTTGAACATGATTGCGAAACCAACATCCTACTCGTATTTTAATTCCCCAAATTTTCCTTTTCAGCTTGTACAGAAATAAAAATCCAATTAAAAAGAAACGAATTTTTGCTTGATTTTTGTTTTGAATATCGCAGGAGAGAAAAATGTCCAGTCAATTAAATCGTACAATCTTATGATGCATATATATGTATATGTGTATGCATGTATTTTATTTGTTTATTCAGCTAAAATATAAATAAAGCTTACAACATTTCACTCAATAAGCGACTTACAACTTTTGAGCTGAAAACGAATAGGCTAAGAAGTCATAAAAGATGCATAGATGAATAGGTTTGCGATATATTTTACTCACTTACTGAATTGAAGACGAGAGTCTCCTATTTCTCATGAGACCGAAAAGTGCTCGAACAGGTGTCATACAAGTAATATTGAAAATTGTTCTCTCCTACTTACCTGAGTGCCATTATCATGGAACAACCTTAAAGCCCGATTAGCTCCAAAAATGACTGAACTCTAATTCAACATTTTTGAGATCTAGCATTTTTTTTAGGCAATGCCAACTGTATGGACAAGCTGGTCACGCCTTCACGCCATCGGCTGCTGCGTCTGCATTTACGCGACAAATCAAGTAATTATGCATGCACATAATACGTTTAAAATCGGGCTCACTTGGCAAGCTCGCAGTTTCCAATTAACCATGTGGCCCGATGGAAATGGTCAATTACTGGCACATTGAGCGAGTCACTCGAATGCTTTGCTTCACGACCAATTGAAATTCAAATGAGGGCGGCACCCAAATGGAACTTTGAAGACAAGACGCAGCACAACATACTCGTACGTATTAGCTTTGCAACGTGCAGCAATTTGCGATTTACAATTTACAGTTTCAATTGCTCGACAAATGCCAAATATGGGCGGCATTATCTGTTGAGAGAACTACAAGTATGCGTACGGTGGGTCAACGAATTCTTACGCATAGCGTTGCGCCAACTCATATAAATTGCAAAGCCAAAGCCAAAGCCAAATCCAAAACCAACACGAAACAACGAATCACAAGGAAAATGCAGGCACTACAATGGAAGCAACGCTAAAAATGCAGACACTGCCAAAGTTTCCAAGTGTTTGAATTTTGTTTGCTTTTAGTGGCTACTGTGTTGCTGTGGGACTGTGCGGCTGTTGGTTGTGTTGTTGTTGCTGTTGTTGTAGTCTGTTAGGCATTGTACCACAAATTGTTGGCTCATTGTATTTATTAGCTTTCGGCCCATTTTTTGTTTTTTTTTTGTTCCCGCACTTGTTTGCAACAAACACATGTGCATAATTGTGTAGGTATAGGTGTGTGGGCTAGTTTGTCTCATTTCCTTGTTTTAGCGTAATTTTGTACCCATTTACTTGACTCCTTTTGATTGATTGGATTTCACTTTAATTGGCCAGCGTCCAAGCAAAGACAAATATACCCAACTGCCCACAGATTGTTTGTTTGGCCGTCTCTTTGTCGTGCCAAATGAATTGATTTGTGAATGGCATACTTGTCCCATTCTTGGCCAATTGCCCTTCAATAAACCTGGCCACTTAACGTCGCTGACAATACATAATAAACATATACATATACTATACATATGTACTTGTATATGTAGCTATAGCATGATGTTAATTGTCGCCCAGCTGCACCGCCAGCTGCCACTTGTCACAAGCTGGTCTACATTTGACTAATTGATTTAATATTATTATTGCTGTTTTCGGTTCTCTTTGCCAATCAGCGCAGTATAGAAGTTTCTGCATTCAAGCGTGGCTAATTTCATATTTTTTGTTTCTATTAATTGAAGGCCTTTTCGACCCTAAAATGAACAGTAAATGTAGCAAGCGTTTCCATCCATTTTTCCCCATTGAATTGATTGATGTGCCATGCTACAATTCTCCAACACAAGGGAGTGCTCGCTGCTGGATATTGGATATTGGATATTGGCAGGAAATTAATATACAATTGTTTACCCAAAAATATTAGTGTTATATACTATTTGCTGCATTACAACATGCGGCGTACGAAAAGAGATGCGATAAGAGATAATTAATAAAGATTCAATCACTGTAATTATGACGATAATTATGACATAGAAGAATTCAATTAATACCGGATAATATAGATACATATACTATACTATACGTAGATACTGATCACTCCTAAGCTGAGCTTTGTTTTTCTGTATAACAAACACTACCGCTTTCCAAGGCCTTTGGAACATTCTTTTAACTCAGCCGCTTAACTTTCAACGCCACGGGCTACCGACTATATGGTATGTATACAAATTGAGTAAAATTAAGTCCGAGATGTAAAATCTTTGATCAATATTCCACAGCATGGATAGAAATTGGTAGTAAGAAATTGCAATCATTGGCTGCTTTGTTGTTTAGATGTTAGACCATTAGACCATTTCAAATGAATCGGAACAATGCCAAAAAGTAGCCTCAGCCGGTTGCTTGTAATGTTAAGTTTGTTTGATTTATTGTTTGCATTCGGTTTTACTTTTGTTAATGTTGCCACTTGGCTTGCCACACACGCCCTTTTCACGCCCTTTCCGATTTTTCTGCTTTCAGCCCATTATCGTAGTCCAATTGTAGTTTTTTTGCAGAATAATAAAACAACAAAGGCAGCCAAATAAACAGCAGTCACAATAAAAGTTCATTCAATGCTTTTCGCAGCCCAGACTTTCATTCAACCGCAAGCCAAAGATTGGCTTATACTTGTAGTATTGGACGGATTTGTTTCTATTTTATTTATTTATGGAAGTGGCGGATAGTCAAGGCCTTGCCGAAGAAGCCTTCAATGTTACAACATTGCTATTGGCACTATATATGTACGAGTATGTATATACAAGTATGATATTCAATGCCAAATTTTTTACAACGGTTAATTGTTCAGATGAAGCAGAAGGCGGCAATCGACCATGTAAGCCGGATTTGTGAGAGGTCAGCTGCGATTGCCTGCCAATAGCAAATGGAAATAAAATTCCCAGAGAGGATGCATTATAATCGCAATTCTGCTAATTGGTGTATATACTTGAAATTAAATTTTACAATTTATCCCATCACTGGCCTTAAAACATACAATGCCTGAAGGAGTTATGGTATAAATAATTATGCTGACATTTGGGAAAATGTTGAATGCCAGAATTGCACAATTCTAGCTACTTCATGAGCAATAAAATGAAATTTAAAAAGTTAACATTTAAAAAATCCTAAGCAAATAAAGTATATTGAATAATTTATAAGCTTTTTTATTTAATTTATTGTTGGCGGTATTTTACTGTTCTCTACAAATACGAAAGCTCTAGAAAAATAAACAATTAAATTTTCATACAAGAACAATATATTGACTATAGCAATAACTGTATTGACAGTGGGTGGATCAAGACTTAAAAAGACGCTCAGACTTTTTGATGACGTCAAACATAGACCTGCCTAGATATCTGAGCATGTATACTAAGTATGAATTGCAGAAATCGACATTTTTATCTCTGCGCCGCGATCACTGCTTTTTATCTGTCTGGATCAGCGGAATGGCTGTCAGCTCTCGAAACGAGCCCACATGCATTAGTAAATACAACTATATGATTCTTTATGTCGCAGCTGAATGAATATTTATGCTCGATGCTCGACCACTTTAAAGTGCCAGTAAAGGGGGGCACTACGCACTTATAGCTGCAATAACATTACACACACACAAACACACGCGCATTACTTGATCAAGCAGCACTTACCATCACGCCAACGGGGCACGGTGACGAAGAGGCGATTGCCGAAGTGTTCCACCCCGACAGGCAGTGCGTTCTGGGGTATGTAGTCGCCGCTGGCCAGAGCCTGCTCCTTGACGCGCTGGTTGGGAAAGGCAAAGTCCAGTTGTGTCCAGCTGTAGCGCTCCTGCAGCTTATAGGCAGCCTGCGTCCAGCCAGGCAGTACGACGAGCAGGAACGCCAGCAGTATCATTGGCGCCAGGATGCATCCTTTGCCTTTTCCTCGGGCGTACATGGCGTATGCGCAATCACAGTTCAGAGTTTACGTTTATTCACTATTCGCACTCGCTGCGAACTTGGCCAGGATAACGAGACACTGTACACCGTACACAGCCACAAAAACACGCACACACACACACACACACACAAAGACGGAGAAAAAAAAAAAAGATTTATATTCGACTTAGATCAGTTCAGGAGTTCAGCTTACAGTGTCTTTAGTGTTCAGCTCAAACGACTCGCGAGTTTACTACTGTTGTCCATAATTTGCCAAGCGCGCTATTTTATATAAACTTATATTTCGGCCGACGGCGGCGCAGCCACCGCTGCCGGCGGCAGCACCACCGCCACCACTACCAGCAACAACAGCAACAACAAGAGCATCAACATCGAAGACGAAAGACAAGCCACCATTAGCTGCAAAGGGGCAAATTATCCGCAACTTCGGGAGCATTCGGAACTCAGCATCGTGATCGGCAGCATGCACTCGGCTTTTGAATTCAATGATTGATTTTCACGCACACTCAGCGGCAACACGGCTTTAGTTCCGTTTAATGAATTTGCTTTTAATCAAAGTGGCTGTAAATCGTTTGGTCAATTGCTCGAGCCACATCGGACCAAGACCGAGACCGAGAGAGCAAGTCGCCACAGATCGGGCCGTGCTTAGATGGCTTGAATTGGCCGGCCGGTTGGCCAGCTAATTAACGCAACTGACGTCTTGACTTGCCTTTCGCTACTCTGCCACGCTTTTAATTGTCCATTTTTTCCACCTCAAATTACGATTTTTTTGCAATTTCAGCTTTAATTTAGTTGTACATTTGACACTAGCTTCGATGATTCATTGCCACTGAGCGTGCCTGGTCGCCTGATCGAGGGTCAAATGGGCGCGAGCTTTTCGGCTTTGTGGCCTCCAGAACCATGCAGTTCACAGTTCCGCATGGTGAAGCAGATTTTTAAATTTCCTCTTTAAATACTATATGCTGACTATATGGAGAAAAAACAGTAGAATGGTCATACGACTTTATTAGCTCGTTTCTGCAATGCAATTAATAAATAAATAAATAAATTATAAGTAGCTTACTTGTATATACTCAAAACGGACAGAAAGAGGCGTGGCAGACTTGGCTCACACAAACCCGATGTAATGTGATGCGAGAATGTTGCACCAGAATGTCAGGAAAAGTATGTACGTAGGTGTAATACATTATTAATATTTAACTCAAAAGATTAATTCATGAACATTAGAAATTTGTTTGAAGTGAGCCGCACAACGAATGCACTTAATTCTCGCTTATGTTGGCCACATTTTATTACCTTTTTATACCCTGTTCCCAAGGGTAAAAGGGCATACTTGAAGGAGCCGTGACAGACCCCTAAAAGTGCATATATTACTGATTAGTACGACAAGCCATGTCCATCTGTCTGCCCGTCTGTCCGTATAGCTAGAATAAGAAAACGTGGCATCCAGATTCTCCTAAGCCGGACAAATTTGTTTTTTTTCCTGACTTTTCATAGCTCCCGTAATTCTTGAAATTTCAAATGTGTTGAATATTTTATATTTAATTTAAATAATTAATTGAGTTTTCTTTTTTAAATTAATTTATTTTTTTTTAATATTTTTGGGTTGGTTACAGGGTATTTAGGAGTTGAGCCCGCTCGACTTTGGCATTCCTTTCTTGTTCTTAGTTAGAATGTTGTGTTTGTTAAATGAATCCCAACGGATAAGTTTCTCTGAAATACGATATAAATATAAATATATTTTCTTGCCAAGTAGTTGCCGAAAAAGCCACATGGCACTTTCACTTTTTTTTTCAAGCCGACCATTTGTTCGCTACACAACTCATCACCCATCGTTTCTTATGAAAAAGTTGAACTAAACGAATTGCATGGAGTTTTGCATTCCTATGCCGCAATGCCTTTGGCCACGCACACGTAAATGACCGCAACATCAACATCAAAGCAACATCGGGCAACAGCAAAAAAAACATAAAATAAAATAAAAGCAACAACTATTGCAAAATGTAATCAATGCTAACTAATTCTGGCTGTTCGTTCGGCGCGTATATGGCTTATGTTTACGACTTACCTGCTAGTCCGCAAAAAAACGAATTTAAATAAAAAGGTGAAACTGTCGCAACCACTTGGCCGCCTGCTTACAAACACGCTCGTGCCTAAGGCCTATACTTCGAGCCACTCAATGCACTTTTTTGGACTGCATTTTTGGCTCACGCAGCGCCAAGCCGTGTCTCGAGCTGGCCCCGTTACTCGTGTAGAAGTTTTTCATTTGCATAGCGCACTTGCTGAGGTTTTTCAATTTCGACTCATTATGCATGTGCCGGCGGGCCAGAGCACTGATATTGTTGACGCCTTCTCCGGCCGCCAACAGCAGCCGAACAAGCGCAGCTGTGGGCTTTAATGCGAGCATATCAATCAGGCAACGGGGCTGCTGTTTACTGCAAATTATTAATTTCAAATGTCGTTCAAGGCATTGTTCACACTCTGTCGGATTAGCCGGGGACGTGACGTCAGAGCTGCCTTTTTCAAATCGCTTGTAGACGGCTGTCAAGTTTTGTGAAGCAACTTATTGAACACGGAAAACATTGCGTGCGATTTGTTATTAAAACGCCGCTCCCAATCATGGCAGAAAATCGAAGGATCAGCTTTGACGTGGTGTGAAAAGCGTCTGTACAAATACTAGTACATGTGTCTGTATGCTGTATGTAATATGATCAATTTTGTATAATTATGGGAAATATGGTAGACTTGTGTTTGTATTTTAATATTTTAATTAAGGCAACAACTTGCGTAATCTGCTCAATTTTCTATAATTATGCGAAAGATACTGGTAGTCTATGTATTCCACTAACATTATTTATGTTGAGGATACAAACAGCCTGTTGAGGTACATACTTGTACATATATTGTGTATGCGTTATTCGTGTCTTCAAAGTGCATATAAAGAAGACTATGCATTTGGGAACCAATTAAGACTAATCGCTCGCCATACCCCCTTATCAACCAAAATCAAGCTTTCCACCTATCTTCACTCCTTATATGCCGTAATTGTGATTTTTAGGGCAACTGCGTCCCATGTGAGGAAGTCGCGAACACTCCAAAATAATATTCATAAGCTGCTTCTTAATTTACCTCTTGAATATTCAAAAGCTGAAAGCTTATAAGTAGTTCTTGTCATTAATGTAATCAACGTATAGTCCGTATCTTGCTTATCTACTAAGCTTAGTATAAATGTGCGCACATACATATACATACTACTATATACGCATAGATTATAGTTTATTCTTAAAGAGCATGAAGTGAAAGTGTAGAACTAAAAAACTAAGCACGAAAGCTGAAACATTTGCACACCAGCTGGTTTTAATAAATCTGAAGTGTACACTCTTAAATATCGATTTTAATAAAACATATACTCGTACATATTCAAACGTAGTGAATTCAAAATGTATTTAACAAAATGTTGACATAGTTTTGTTTCGGCTACGTCTAATATGTTCAATTAGATCTCTGTTAATGCATCTTATCTATATATTTTTATAAGAAAGCCTTGACACTATTTATAATACAGATGTATATTAATTTGAAAAATTATGAACAATTAAAGCAATATATGTACTTCATACATACAATAGACAATTGAATCGCTGAATACCGGAATGAGAGTTCTTCACTTTTTCTTCCAATTTCACATTTGAACCAAGTACTGAAAATTAACATTAATACTCAAATTTATTATGAAACGGGCTATCTTAACTTGAAAATATTTGAAGTGAATGCATATCTTAATTTATTGTGGTTCAGCAATACATCGATGGTGTCACACTTTAATCACTTTGTTTTGAATAATGTTCATATTAAAACTGTGTCTGTTCTCGCTTTGAGAAACTTTAAATTAAAATTTTGTACATAATGTACAATCTGATGACTCTTTCCCAATGCTAAGTATTATTTATTTCATTTGAGCTGTAGCTAAAGATTGTTTCTTTGAAAGATACAACTTTTTAGCAAATCTGTGCCGGCCACTCTTTTCCTGATGATCTGAGGAGCATGTGGCCAATCAGCAAACTAGTTCCACATTCGCCTACGCGCCCATAATTTGCTTGCAGCTTTTCCTTGGAACAGCTTTTTTCCAGCCGATTGGCTACTTTCAATCTTCGAAGACTAATTGGCAAACACTTTTTAAAGATCAATTTAGATTTGCATTTTTAGAAACAGCAATAACCAAACTCTTGCGTAACCCCAATACAGACCTTTATCGCGCCAGCTTTTGATGTACTCTTACATCCTTAACATTTTGCAGTTAAATGGCCACATTTTAAATTATAAATAGATAGTATAATGATAAATCTACCAACGATTATTTATGCTTTACATATTTAAATATTTTGTGGCTAAAATTGATATTTTGGTACTTGGCTTTTTGTATTAATTTTGGTTGACACATTAAATAGATTATTTGATATACTGGAATAGATCCTACAACTACTTCTACTCATACTGAACTTTTTTTTTTTACAGATAATCCTCAGAAGGTAGGCATCATCGTTCCCGGATCTTGAATAACTATTGCAGCCTCATTTGAATGCCAATTTTGAATGTTTTATGTCACGCTGCAATAAATAATTCATCATATCTGCTAGCGAAAACGTCATTTTGATTTCGTTTAACAGCTTACGAGTATATTTATCGGGAATTCGCTGAGATAAAACTGAAACAGACAATCTGCCATCCTGCTAATCCAACACAACGGGCTGTCGCCCGGTCCAGTCACAACACCAGCGTCTTCCCTCTCCTGGAGGGGCAGCCCACGCTTGCAGTTGGTCGTGGACGTGGATGTGGATGTGGACGCGATTCGTGTAATACGCATGAAAATTTGCCATACATATTGGTATTTATGACTACCGCCGTCACACACCTGACTTAACATGAGACGCCGAGTCGTTTATTCGCTTTTAATTTTTGTTTCTCCATCATTGCACAATTTAAGTCCACTTCATTAAT